GTGTGGGGCAGGGGTACACGTTGTACAGGTACCCAAGGAGGCCAGAAGAGGATATCAGATCTGCTGGAGCTGGAGTTGCAGGCAGTTGAGAGCTAACCAATGCGGGTCATAGAAACCAAACACCAGTCCTCTGGAAGAGCAGCAAGAGCGTTAACCTCTGAGCCGTCTCTCCAGCCCTCGTTTAATTTCTTTAAGACTTTGTGGATGCTAAGGATACACAAAGTGTAAGAAAGGGTTAAAGCTGATTGTGTATTGTCTGCCGTATGGACAAGGAATCATACAGACACTGATGGACAAGGAATACTGCCATCTCTCTTCACAAAGTATCGAACTTCTGTGATTAGCAAGAGTTAAGGGGATACTTTTACAGAAAGCCCGTGGGAGCTACCCTCCCACCTGGTGTGGCTTCTCTGTGTCAGATTCCTGCAGTTCAGATAAAGGGCAAATGGGGGCTCAGAGCTTATGCTGGCCCTGTGAAGACACCGCAAAAAAGGCCGTCTTTTAGTCTTTTATTCTAATGCTACCAACTAGGAAGAATGCAGGTGGCTCATTGAATCCATTAGTATCCATAAAGGTATCTATTATTTTAAAAGATTTTATTTATTTTGTTTTATGTCATGTTTTGTCTGAGTGTCTGTCTGGGTACTGCATGTATGCAGTGCCCAAGGAGGCCAGAAGAAGCGACAGGCCCTCGGGACTGGAGCTAGAGACAGTCGAGATACTGTGTGGGTGCAGAGAACCAAACCTGGCTCCTCTGGAAGAGCTCTCAGTGATTCTAACCACTGAGCCATCTCTCCAGCCCCTTTAAAAGTTACTGGTTTTTTTTTTAAACATATGATACATCTGATGACACTTTGGTTACACATGGATTACGTCACATTTTACACCTAGATGAGGGTCTCAAGGCCTCCGAGTCGTTGCCATGGTGGGAGTTTAGTAACTAATGAGTTAGATGTGTCATGTGCAAACCTTGAGACACTAAAGAATTTCACTAACTTTGAGACTGTATCCATGCATGACGTCATCACTGCTAGGAAGAATTCCTCTTCCATCATCCAATCACATAATGGAATAACCTGTCTGGCAGCTTTTCATCAATGGATCACACCATGCTACCTCTAAATAGTGTTTGGCTGAAAGTGTCACCTCAGCCCCTAACATCCTTATCCAAAAGTCTGGAATGTTTGGCTGGTGGCTTCACTCCAGCCCCTGGCATTCATTTTGGAATGTTGGGTAGAAAGTTTCATTTCAAGCCCCTTCCCCTGGGGGTTGCTTCAGTTCAAACTCCACCTCCAAGAAAGCCCGTCAAACGGTGACCCCTCCCCATGGAGGGTCAAGACCACTCCCACAGGCTATATAAACTGCCCTCACAAAGAACAAACACTCTTTCTGACTCTCCTTTTCCCTCTCCTGGTTACCAGTCTTCCTCCCCAGGGGGCTGGAGGGCCACTTGGGAGCCTGGCATCCATTAAACCTGGGCCATTCTCTAATTTGGTTTGATTTGGATTACTGCATTGGTGGAGAGGTTTGTCAGGCCAGAAAAACTTAACAAATAGCTCTTTTTCCCCATCAGTCCAATGCGCCTTTCTTTCCCCTCCCTGTCAGTTTGTCCCCAGTCTGCTCTCCAGCCAGAATGCTGACACTTTGAAAAATTGTCTTTTCATCCCTGGGCAACAAGATTCCCACAACAGGGCTGTGGAGATTGCTCAGTAGATAAGAGTCTTTGCTGTGTGCCTGGCAGTGGTGGTGCATGCCTTTAATCCCAACACTTAGGGGGCAGAGACAGCCTGTTAGTTCAAGGCCAGCCTGATCTACAGAGTGAGTTCCAAGACAGCCAGGGCTACACAGAGAAACCCTGTTGAGACAGACAGACAGACAGACAGACAGACAGACAGAGTTCTTGCTGTGCAATCATGGGGACCAGAGTTCAAATCCCAGCACCCATGTAAAAAGCCAGGAATGATCATACACCCCTGGCATTATGAGGGGCAGAGGCAGGAGGGTCACCAGAGATGGTTGGTTGCCAGAGAACCAGTTTCAACGAGAGCTCCTGTGTGTGCCAAGGGAATATCGTGGAGAATGAGAGACATCTCCCTGGCCTCTTGTGAGCATGGGCACACACGCCTGCACACGCAATAATTAAGCATAACTCCAAGAAAGAGCATTTCTTCACGGGCTGCTGGGGCTTCCTCTGAGAACGGAGAGCACTCAGAATCAGAATGCCACAAGTTCTGGGCACGAAATCCATCCGCCCTTGGACAACACATGTAAGTGGGCTCTTAATAATTCACCGTTTTCAGAAACAGGGAGCTGATTCAACCATGGCTGCTCTCTCTCCTCGGTGCTGCCCGGTAGGATGGATGCTCTCACCGCACATCCACCTAAGAACCTAAGTTAACAACATCCACCTCTTCCAGGAAGTCGTCAACAGGACCTTAATGAGGTGAGTCATTGCATCTTTAAAAAACACCAGGTCGAGAGATGTGCCTCTGATGATCTCGTTGAACTGCCTCTGGTAGAACTGGAGTTTCTCACACAGAAATTCGAAGGTTGGCACCTATAAGAGAGGAAAAATAATTTGTGAGATCCAAATTTTTGTGATGTAGCAAGTATTTTTTTTTCTGTTTTTAGTCTGGGCTTTCATAGTTTAGCTTTTTGAAAATATACAGAAATTTTACGTTTTCTATTTTTAGTCTGTGTTTTCATAGTTTAGATTTTTGGAAATACACAGACATTTTATGTTGTTTATGTGACCAAATCCACAACTTTGTTGCCCTGAAGCAAAGCCTTGCCTACTGTACTTTACATTATTCTTTTCAGCCTGCTCTTTATAATTACGCTGTCACGCGATCTCCCCTCCCCCAAATGCATTTGAAATCTTGGTTTTATTTCATTAAATCTACCTCTTTTTGCTTATTTTATGTTCATGTGTATGCGTGTTCCTGAATGAGCTTTTGCAAACTTTATGTCCCCAGAGCCCTTTGAGCCAGAGGTGTCAGACACCCTGGTCCTGGAACAACACAGGGTTGTGAGCCGCCGTGTGGGTGCTGGGACCTGAACCCAGGTCCTCTGCAAGAGCACTCAGTGCTTTCAGCTGCTGAGCCATCTCTCCAGTGCCCAATCTATTCATATAGGAAGACGGTATTTAATCAATATTTTATTCACTGAAGTTGTATCACACCAATTCCTCAATGCTTTATCGAGGGACCGAGGCTGTTGGACAACTCACTTTCAAGGTGACATTTTCTGACTTGGGACTGTTGCCAAAGGCTAGCCATACTTCCTTAACGGCTAACTAGCAGCTATTTCAGCTTGGTGATCCTTAGCATTTCTACGGCCATTACTCCACTCTGCTCTCGCAAGGCAACCACAGACAAAATATAAACAAGTGTACATGACTAATGTTTCAATAAAACTTTATCTAAGAACTTTAACATTTGAATTCCATATAATTTACAATGTTTATCCTTACCTATCTATCCATCCATCCATCCATCTGTATCTACATATCTCTCAATTTGATACCCATTTTGAGGATATTTAGTGCTGCCTGTGTGTGCATGAGGACCATCTCCTAAAACATAGGTAGCCTCTCAGGGCCTTGAAGGAAAGTGACTCCCCCTCTTCCAATAGCCATCAACTGTCAATGGCCCCTTAGCTGACACAAGACATGGCATCTTCATCCATCCACGCTGAGAAATAAAATGTTTCCTGAAAACCTCGAAGAGATAAAAATAAGTACCAGTTCGTAGATTTTGGGCACTTCAAACATGGTGTCTTCAGGTTCGTCCCCCGTGGGTTCGGGCATGTCCCGGAGGAAATCCACAAAGTATGGTTCGGGGAGAATATTTGACGCAATCTCAGGGCTGATGTTCTCTTCGACAGCCCGAATGAGCTGCGAATTGAACCACTGTTCGTCTTCAGGGGTTATAAACCTGAAAGGACAGGGCACTGAAAGGAAGACAGAAGAGAGAGGCGGCCTCTCTACCCAACCCTGCACCTTCCTGCCTCACGACAGGAAACACTATGCCCTGTGGCTTAGGTGAAGTCAACAGGTCCCTGTGACTTGCAGGGCAGTGAGGGGCAGGCAGGTGACCCTCACCGCGTCAGACTCACAGTGCCACGGAGGGGAGACAGCGGGCCGCTGGCGCAGGAAGACTCCACCTATGTGCCAGAATGTCGCGGCTCCCACTCTAACCTCAGGAGCCTGGTGGCTTCACAGACAAACCACAGTGGAGGGAACGGCAGCTCAGAGAGATGACTGAACTTTAACAGGGTGACACGAGACTCCAGCCAGGCAATGATGACAGAGTTTAGAAAATACACAGCTGAAATTCACTGCTAAATTGTATCAGCTCTTAACGGTGAGGTGGGCCAGGAGGAGGAGCTGTTACAGCAGCGTGGGGTGAACTGACAGAGAAGTGTCTTAAACAGACTGGCAAGTGGGAAACAGCATTACTACTGTTCAAGCTTCTTTGAAAATTGGTGCACAGAGGCTGGAGACATGGCTTAGCTGTTAAGGGCCCTGGCTGCTCTTCCAGAGGTCCTGAGTTCAATTCCCAGCAACTACATGGTAGCTCACAACCATCTGTAATAAGACCTGGTGCCCTCTTCCAGCCTGCAGGCATACACACAGACAGAACACTGTATATACAATCAATAAATGAATCGAGAGAGAGAGAGAGAGAGAAAACTGGCACACAGGACAAGGAGACAGCTCAGTGGACAAAGTGCTGCCACACAAGCATAAAGCCCTGAGTGTGGACAGCCAAGATCGTTGTAAAAGCCAGGAGCAGCAGCATGCCCCTTGTTACCCTAGCTGTAGGAAGGCAGAGGCGGGGGGGAGCCTTGGCGCTCTCTGGCACATCAGCCTAGCTGAATTAGTGAGCTCTGGATTCAGAGAGAGACCTTGCCGCAAAAAAAAAAAAAAAATTGGAGAAGAGTTGAAAAAGATACCAGGCACATGCACACATGCATGTGTGTGCACACGCATAATCTGAGACAATAATCCATACTCCATGGATCTGAGAAGGTAACACAAGTCTTAATCTAGGCATTCAGCTTCTCAGCCACGTGTGTAAACCTCAGGGCTGCAGTGCACACCTGTCTGCGATCACTCTGTTACACTCGTGCTTGAAGAGGGACATGAGGGTGGGGACTGAGTCACACTCTTCGGCTTTTATGGTGAGCATCCCTTGCCAAATCCTCGAAAGGTCGCGAAGGTTAAAGATGTAATGAAATTTCGAGGGCGTCGGCAGCATCTTCACCTGGAGATGAGAAATGAGGTTAAGACTCTCAGTTTGATTCTTAGATAAAAATTAAGCATGGAAATGTCTTTTTGACTATTCTATCTTATACACCCTATTTTTAATATTTTCCTTCACCTAGATTTTTTATGTGTTTTTTTGCATGTGTATGTCTGTGCGCCACAGGGGTGCAGTGCCCAGAGACACCAGAAGAGGGCATCAGACCCCAGGACTGGAGTTGGAGGTGGTTGTGAGCAGTCAGTGCTCTCAGCCATCTCTCCAGCCCCCATCACGAATCCTATTTGAGACAGGACCTGGAGGGTAAAGGAACCAAAACCAAGTTCATGTTTTCATCATCGCATCGATGTCAGAAAAAAATAAATTCATAAATAAGTAACACAAAAAAATTTAAAGCCAGGAACCCTTAAAACAGGGTGGATTCAAGAAAAAAATGTAAAGAGAGAGACAGCCTCTAACTCCTGGCACGCTACCACAGGTCAGCCTCAAACAAGCCCCTTTGCCATGAGTTCCCAAGAACCACATGAACTGGGGGAAACCATGCCCAGTGACGGCCGGCCTCACTAGTGCACATGGAAAGGTGAATGGATAAACCACACACACTACATGGGTTTCCTGTAAACACACAGCTATGTGGACATGAAAATCCATCATAACAAAAACTGAAGATGAACTGGTGATCATGAAGGCAAGAAGAATGACTGTTCACACTCAGGTTCAAATAAGCTAGTTTCTTGTGTGCGGTTTATGCATGTGCAGTTGTTGCTGTGTATGTAGGTGCGTGTACACATGTATGTACACGTGTGTAGAAGCCAGAGGTTGACATCAGGCACCTTTCCTCTATCATTTTTCCATCTTATATTTTGACACAGTGTGTTTGAAGATCAAAGACTTGGCAAAACTAGATGGCCAGCGACCCCATAAGGTCCTATTGTCTCTGCTTCCCGGAGCTAGGATTACAGGCATGTATTGCCAAGCTTGTCTTTTTACATGGATGCTCAGGATGCTCGCACAACATACAGTTTACTGACTAAACTGCCTCCGCACCCCCAAGTAGCTTCTGCAGATTGCACTGATTGAAGTCAGACGGTCCGAAGCGCACCCACAGCACTAGCTCGGGAAACGCTCTCTGCGGTACCTGCTCACAGAGGAAGCTTTTTCTGTACCCTACAGAGTTCGTCAGGTTTTTAAAGACTTATTTATTTTTATGTTGTGTGTACAAGCGTTTTTGTCTCCATGTAAATCTGTGTACCGTGTGTGTACGCAGAGGCCAGAAGCAGGCATCCGATCATCAGACCGTTGTGGGCACCATGATGGGGCGGGAAAGAGAGCCTGGATCCTCTGCCAGAGCCAAGAGTGCTCTTGGCTGCTGAGCCCCCTCTCCACCCTGAGTGTGCCATTCTTAATGAGCTGCAGTTACCTTGGTCCACTGCCACAGCACTCGGCCCACTGAGACGAGGTTCCCGATCATCTCACATATTTCAGGCTTGAACTTTCTACACGGATCAAAGTATCCACAGCCAATAACTCCTGGGGAGAAAATAAGACGGAAGGCACGCAGTTGTTTTTTAAAGGTCACGGGGCACGTGTTTATTCTAGTGAATAAAGCATTACAAGATTGACTACCTAGCAGGGATGAGCACTGTAAGTCAGAGGGGCCCAGCCATCCTCAGCGGCAGTGGATCACGTACGGACTCAGGCTTAATCCTCCCAACAGCCATCCACAGCCGGGCCCTTAGTCTACACGTATTTTATTCTGTGCTTTGGCATGAGGCTGGGGTCCAACTTTAACAGTTTTCCCATAAACCTTACAGACTGTTGCTGTCTCCACTGAAACTCTCCCCCCCTTCTCTTCCATATCCAGTGCCTGACACGTCGAGCAATCATGTATCAATCTATGCTGTATTTCATAGCTTTTCATAGTACATGTTATAGATGCCAAATTTGGTAGCAATAATCTGAATTTCATTAACCCTTCAAAGCACTGGTTATTACTGTTGACTCACGGCGTGTGTGGAAGGAGTGTCTCTCGCCAGCCAGACTGCCCTGACAAAACACAGAGCTTCCTCTACCACGCGTGTGCGTGTGTGTGTGTGTGCACGTGTACACAGGTATACCCATATGTGTGCATATGTGTGTATGTACAGGTATACTTATATGTGGGTATTTGCGCATGTGTGTCTGTGTATATGTGTGTGTGTGTGTGCCTGCTTGGGTATGTGTGTGCACATGTGTACAGGCATTCCCGTGTGTGTGTGTGTGTGTGTGTGTGTGTGTGTGTGTGTGTGCGCGTGTATGTCCTCAAGCCAGAGGACAACCTCAGCTGTTGCTCCTCAGGTGCCACACACCTTTTCTAAGACAGACTCTCTCACTGGCCTGGAGCGTGCCAAAATGACTACGCTGGCTGTCCAGCAAACCCCAGGATACTCCTGCCTCTATACTCGGCACAGGGACTACTGTGGGACTGAACTCGGGTCCTCTGACTTACATGGCCAACATTACCAACCAAGCCACCTCCTCGCCCCTCCCTCCCTCCTTACCCCACCCATCTACAAGGTTCTTCCTAATTATCTTTGAGTCCTAGAACAAGCGACCAACACCAGTCATCTTAATGCCGGTGTTTAGCTGTCCGTTTCAGATACCTCATCCTCATTCCAGACGGACTCTTAAGGGTAGCTCTCAAGTAAATTTTCCTGTGGTTTGTATCCATTATATGATGCAATAGGAAATTATGCATTTAGAGTACTCGTACCAAAAATCTTGTCTATAGAAGTATTTGAAGGCAGCGTGCAGTTAAAGACGGTGAACTGTCTTTTCAGGCGCTGCGGGATGTCATTCCGCCCCCCTCCGGGGTGGATCATGGCCGCGATGAGCTGCACGTCGACAATGGTGGTGAAATCCCCAGGCTTGTCCAAGCTGTACATGCCCTGCATTTCCATCATCTGCCGCACGATCTCGTTCGTTATCTGCAACGCACCACCAACCCTCAACAACTCCGAGAACATCCCACTCCTTCCATGGAGGTGTGCTGGTCATTCTGACCATCACCTGCAAGGCCACTTGAATGAAATGACACCGGCATCCGGTGTGAGGCCAGGGTGCCCCTCATTACACTGCTAAAACAAATTTCCAAGTCAGTTTAGCTAGGGGACGGCTGTGAAATGCTTGGTGCACTGGCAACAGCGCTCAGAGCTACAAGTTTGATTCCAGACCCCGCCCACACTCACTTCATATGAGAACACGGAGTGGCCTCGGCCCCGACTCTTTGACACTAGGAACTACTCAACACTTCCCTTTGGAGGCGACAGGCTCTTGTCTGTAGCTCTAGCTCTGCTGACGTGTCCTCCTCCTTAGAGAAAAGACCTCTTGCCTTGGTTCCAGAGGCACGAGTCTTTCCAGAATCCTCTGATGACTCTGGATCACTCCCTGCCCATGCTTCACCCCCACACGCTCACATTAACTGTTTTCCAGGGCTCCCCCCACTTCTCATGATTCCCGCCACACCATCGGAACTCCACATCCCCAAGATTCTCAAAGCGGTTGCTCTGGCTTTAGCCTCCCTTCCAGGCTCCAACTCTGTGTGTTCAAATGTATTCTGTTTGGGTATCTCAAAGGGACCACACACAAGCACCCCAATAGAACAGTCTTTCATCCAACCAGTATTCAACCACTGTGTGCCAGGCTCTCTTTAGACACACACAAAAATCCATCTTCATGAAGCATGCATTCTTTGCGGGAGACAAAACGCACAGGCGTATGCTTATGGGCGAATAAAATACAGTAGCATAAATGCTTCAGAGGACATAAAGCAGGGAGATGGCACGCAAGGCTCCCAGGAGGGGCGCCTCACGGAGAGCAGCGGGAGTCCCGGACAGGTTGAAGAGGGGCGGCTGATTCCTGAATTACAGACAATTCATCGCCAAACAAGTTTGGGCTATTTCAAGTCTGACTAGACACCCCTCGAGAAACAAATGAGTTTAGAGCCCAGGACAACGAAGGCAGGCCGGAGCGAAACGTGCCTCCACCTCTGAGAACTGCGAAGGTCCTCCGGCCCTGAGGTAGAGCAGAAGCATGAAGAGCCACACAAGGATTGTTCTCAGGGTGGGCACTGAGCAGCTAGTGGGTCCTTGGGCAAGGGTCACAAAGAGCAGGAAAAGGGACAAAGGGCCAGGCCTGGTGGACTCAAGCCAGATGGAGCTCTCAAGACTGGCTCTGTCACCAGGAGCCAACCAGGACACGCCAGATGCTGGCCACATCAGCAAGGTCCTCTAATGGGGACCTTGGGCTGACAGATGACAGCAAGGGGATCATGGTCTGCCGTTGGGTGAGTGAGTGGGTGGGTGAGAAGCGGTGCCTTGCTGCTCTGTTTGGGATCAGTTGGCTGGTAGGTGGTCATTAGAGAGAGGGAGCAAGGATGAAACCTGGGGGAAGGCTGGATGGAGCAGGGAAGCCAGAAAGGGCAAGCAGTCAAGATGCCAAGTAGACGTGAAGGATCTTACCAAACCACAGATGGGTTCAGAAGGGAGGAGACAGAGGGGCTGAGAACTATGATTAGACTCAATGTGCAGGCGGTTGATACAGGAAAAACACTGGGCTGGAAGGAGGCTCAGGAGCTGGGGGTGCCTCTGTCAGAGGACCCCATTTCACCTCCCTGTGCCCGCCTCAGATGACACACCATCTCCTGCAACCCCAGCTCCAGGGGAGTTCCACACGCGCTGCATCAGGCTCCTAAGGCTTACCTGATCTCCCCACTCATTGATCACCGGCATATTAATGTCGTCAATAAACACAGTCATCTTCCTCCCTCCTGGGGGCCCGTAGGTGCTTCCCATCCTCTTGTCCACGTAGCTTTCGATTGTCCTCTGGAGAAAAGAAGGTGGTGTGTCATGGCCACTGGATTTCCATCCTTAAGACTCACCGTGTTTACAAAACAGAATAGAATTTACTACTAGAACCAGGTAAGTTCGAGCATAATTGTTAAATATGCACCTTAAGTAGCATCATGAGATGGGAATGTTAACCATCGATATACTAAAACTGATATGCTCCCGAGCCCAGCCTCAGGTTCAACAGTAAGCCAAAATACACTGCTTGGATTTGGCTTCTAATTCAGTCATGAGACGGCAAACTTAGCTATGGAGAGAGAGATGCCTTTAAAGAGTAACTCAAGAGTGCTCGTTGATCTGGCAGAGAGGGCCAGCTTTGGCTCACAGCACCCACACGGCAACTCAAATGCCAATCTTAGGAGATCCAGCACCCCCTGCAGGCCTCTTCAGGCACCTGCATGCATATGGTACCCATAAATTCATACACATACACACACATGTACACACACACACACACACCCGCAAATAAAAATCAATCAATAAATCATTAAAAAAGAAAGCAGACTTAGCTGATGCCAACCACTAAACCGTATGTCCAGGGAAACATAGAGAGCAGACTCATTTTACCGGAACCACCACCTGAAAATCTTTAGCATGCTTAATATCACCACAGCTAAGGGCGGCTTCTACCTGAAACATCATGGGCTCTGTGGCAGAGGAAAAATTTAGACTCTTGGAGAGCTGTACTTCGGGGTCATATTTCTTCAGATAGGCCTTCACCATCACAGTCTTCGCGGTCCCCTGCTCTCCCGTGAGCAAAACAGCCTGCAAGAGTGGAAGAACAGGGCTCAACGGTGCGGCGCTGTGTTAGCGCCAAACTCCCTGTGGCTCTCCCTATTACTCGCCACTCCATGGGTCGACCCCACGCTGTTTTTCCAATTGTTTTTCTGCAGCCACAGCTACATTCAGACCAATCCCAGTGAGCCTAAAGGTTGAAATGTGCACACAGCAATATTGGGGTGCTGGAAGAGAATACAGCTGCCTATTTGCATGCCCATTAGGGCACAGAAGTGTGTCTGGAAGGTGACACCCACATTCCTCATCAGTGGAGACGGAGGAAGACCATTCTGGAACCTGAAACCACTGTCAGAAGGGGTTCCCTCCCCAGTGACACCCCGTCCAGGCCCTTGTGTTGGGATTTATGTATTCTCCCTGCTGTAGATGAGAGGTAATGTGTTTCCTACATGGTTTGGGGCCACCTCAGAGCTCACTATACTTACTTTATGCTGCTTTGCAATCGTGTCTATCAAAAAATTGGTCCTGATGTTGTCAACGTTGGGAACCAAGATGGATGAATACTCTGGAATACTGTCTGTTGGGTAGAAGTAAGGCTGCAGTCTCTTGTTCCAGTGTTCCCAGTCACCTACACGGCAGGCAGAATTTCATCAACATGTGTCCTTGGATGCTTATGTAAAGCTATACAAACGCCAAGTGCTAGAAACAATCGCTTAGATCATACAAAACACTAAGATGCTTTCCTAAAACATCAATACATCTACTTATCTAATGTTCCTCCTTTCGCTCTTCCTAACAGCTATTTGCTTGCTCATTTATTCCTTTCTTGTGTGTGCATATGTGTGCGCATATGTGTGCTTGTCCATGTGCGTCTATGCGTATGGAGGTCAGAGAAATAACCTCTGGTGTGACTTTCCCTCAGATGTCATCCACCATGGATTTTTTGTTTGTTTATTTTGTTTTTAGACAGACGATCTCGCTGGTCTGGGGCTCACCAATCACGCTGGCCGCCCAGTGAACACAAAGCACCCTCTCGTCTCCTCTTCCCCAGGGTTGGGGTTACATGCGTACACACAACGCCAGCTTTTCTACATCCGTTCTGGGGATGAAACTCAGGTCCTCCCACTGACACGGCAAGCACTTCCCTGACTGAGGTCATCTCCCAGCCCACCAGTGGTAATTCATATCTTCCTATGTTTTTAGTCTCTGATACTCTAATAACGGCTTTATCACTTTTATTGATCTTTACAAAGAGACATCTTTTGGTTCCATCTTTTTTCTATTCCAGTTTCTATTTCATTGATTTCTGCTGGCTCTTCTGTTTACGTTGGGGTTAATTGAAACCTTTATTCTTTTGAGATACAAACAGAGCGCTACAAAGTCTCCCTGTTCTGAATGTTTTACAGTCTACAGCATGCTGAAACTGTTTCTTTGCTCTTGAAAAGATGAACTCTGAAAGCAGGCTGCTCCATAACTGTCAGGAAGGTACAGAAGCAAGGAGCCCGCACCTCGAGCTGCATGTCTGCCTCCCAGCATGGGCTCGATGCACCAGTCAGTGCAGTTTCACTGCTTGTGCATCTGCCACTCTGTTTCCGCTCTTTTCCCGCCCCTCCTCTCCGCGCAAGTCCCTCTGCAGTGGCAATTCCACCCTGAAACCCTAACCCAGCCGCCTTCTCCATATCCATCCCTTCCTGCCCTGATGAGGCTGGAGGTTCTGGTTGGGTTCCCTAAGCACCTGCTAGAAGCCGCCTTCTCTCATGACTTGGTTCTCTTTCTGCCTTTGCCCGGTGTCTAAAAGGACTGTTCCATACACTGAGCCCCACTTGCTGATGTGAGAGGCTACACCCAGACTGGAACGCCAGCTGGTCTGGAAGCAGGGACTTCTAAATCTAAGAATCTCTCCAAAAGTGCTCGTGTCCGATGATGACAATACACACACACACACACACACACACATGCACACATATATACATGCATACACACACATGCACACACATGTATACACACACGATACACACGCACACCCATATACATCCACACTGAGGCACATAAATACACACATGCACACATAAAAAGACGTGTGCACACATATACAGAGACAGATACACACATGCATTCAAACACACCCACTCACAAGTTGAAGGGTGAGCTAATAACGAACTGAGAGCCCTTTATGAGCACAAGGTATGGAAAACTATGGTTCACTTCGTGGGCACAGATGCTTGGGCATACAAATTTCATTGTCACTAATCACAGCACTAATCATTTAGAGTGGGAAAGCCAAAGAAGGTTCAGGAGACGGCTCAGCCACTAAAGGAGTTTGCCACCGAGCCTGACAATTTGACTTCAATCCCCGGAACCTCAGAGTGGGAAGAAGAGAACCAACTCTCACAACTGTCTTCCGACCTCTACACTTGTACTGTGGTACAATTCATCTGTTCCAATCTTTCCAAACACGGATGTGCACCTCTTCCCATTGGCCGGGTTCTCGCACCCTCCACGGTGCCTAGGGAACTCAGAAGCTCTCCCTTCAGCCCTTGGCAGGGTCAGGTGGGTGCGGCTGCCCGGCAGCAGCTATGGAAAGAGACCTAGGAAATCTTTTTCCTTAAAGAGACTGAGAATCAGCCCTCTGATTGCTGGTTCCACCTCCCCGCTGTTTCCACTTCCTGAGTCCTCTGGAGGTTCCGGGAGATGTACAACAAGTTACTTCTCAACTAGGAGTTAGCAGCGTCCTGCGTGTTAAATCAAAAGCCTTGTACCGTCTGCTTTCCTGCCGTCTGGAATCTTTCTATTGCTGGCTTCCCTGCCGTTCTGTTTATCCTTTTGAGTTTATGCTTTCAACGCAAAAATACCTTTGCTACTCTGGAGGTTTGGGGAGGATGCGGAGGTAAATATGGGAAGCAAGGGGAAGGGTTTATCGTTTTGTTCTCTCGGGGCTTAGAAGAATCGGAGCCTGGCTCTGGGCAAAGGCATCAAGTTGAAGGGTATTTGTTTGAAGGGAATGTGAGCTGGGCCTGGAGGGGCCCTGCCCGCCAGATCACTCTCCTCATTCTGACAGCGGCACAGACAGACTGCCGGGCTCTTCAGTCAGGTGTGTGTGCTTCCATGTTGCTCCCTACAGCATCAGGAAGCAGACACTGAGCCAGGAGTTGCTTCTCATGGTAGATTTTACTGAGACCATTCCAAGTGAAGAAGTCAGGAAGGTACAGCTAATATACAAAATCCTATCTCTTGACATATTTTCTTTTTTTAAAATATTTATTTATTTATTTGTTATGTATACAATAGTCTATCTGTGTGTATGCCTGCAGGCCAGAAGAGGGCACCAGACCTTATTATAGATGGTTGTTAGCCACCATGTGGTTGCTGGGAATTGAACTCAGGATCTTTGGAAGAGCAGGCGATGCTCTTAACCACTGAGCCATCTCTCCAGCCCCCTCTTGACATAATTTCACAACGGTATTCATCGTTACATTCCTCGTTGGCTTCGCTTTCAACTCTGAGAAATGTATACCTTAAAAGTCATTTTATTTGAACCACGATTCAGTGCACTTACCATAATCAGTAACGAAGAACTCGTACATGGTCTGATTGGTGCCCTTGGGGATTTCTGGCAGGTCTAACTTGCTTCCGTGACCTCGTAGAAAGACCTCGAGTTTTTCTCGGCTCTCCAGTTCTAAAAGGGCTCCCAAACTCCACATGAGGCCAAACACAAACAGCTTATGGAGATGCTCCACAGAGGAGATGCCTCCTTCTTCTTTAGAGGGGATTAAACCTTCCAGGAGAGTGAGTGACTGCGAGAGATTTCAAATAAGATTTTGTTTTTCAATTTAAAAATGTTTGGGTTAAAATATTTGAAAGAAGAAAATCAAAAGCAGGAGGGGAAGGGACAGGAAAACAGAACTATCCCGAGACACTGCCTGATGCCTTCCTGACAGCCCCCCCCCCCCCCCCCCCCCCCCCCCCCCCCCCCCCCCCCCCCAGCGTTAGAGGGCAGATAAGGCTTCAGCAGGCTGAAGAGAAGGGTTGTGAGCTGGGAACCTGCACGCTTGGCTTGAGCCCACTCCTGCCGCTGGGTCTGGCTTTCCCACGATGAAAAGGCAAAGGGCCTCCTCTACGCGTGCCCTGAGGGTGCTTCTGGCCCCAGAGTTAGGGCACCAGATTCCAAATTCATCCCTCCTCCTCTGGGAATTCAGCTTCTCAGACCCTCACACCCACACCGCCCCTAGGAACCTCCCATTCTAGCCGCCTGTAAGTGGCGGCTGGGCTAAGAGCAGTGGAGGCACAAAGCGAGGCGAGTCTTACCTGCACGATGTAATTACACTCCAGCAGCTGCATTTTGGGGCTCAGGTTCAGCTTCATGTACGTGTACGTATCTTCAAACGCCTTATCATACAGGCCCAAGAACACAGTGGCTTCCTGCGGGGTGCGCTTCTTCAGCCACGCCTGGAGTCAGAGGACAGTATCTGTGCTTACTGAGGCAGTGCAGAGCTGGGAGGGCAGGGCTTGCCTTTCGAGCACCAGGACAAGAGTTCAAATCCCGGAACTCATGTTTAAAAAAAAAAAAAACTAAACAAAAACAGGAAAAACTAGGCATGGTGGCACATGCTCATGATCTCAGATCTCAGCGCTGGGGAGGTGGGGACAGGCAAATCCTTGAGACTCACTCTGTCCAGCCAGCCTAGCCTACTTGACAAATTCCAGGCCACTGAGAGACATGGTCGCAAAAATAAAAGAAGTGTAGCTGGCAGGATGTCTTGAGCGAAAACACCCAAGGAGGCCACCTTCTGGCCCCCACGTGTACTCACACATGAATATCTGAACACACACTGATACACGTGAGCAAAACTAAAATGGTGGAGACACAGACTCCTGCCTGTTTCCAGGCCCCCCACCCCACCCAGCCCCCGCCCCCGCCCCCGCCTCCACCTGTTTCCAGGCCCCCC